ATCCTTAGTTGTCACAGTAGCTGTGACTTCTGATTGTCCCTCGAGTCGATCATATCAGATAAGTGAGTAAGTAGATGGATTGACATGGGGTACAATTAGCCACGCGATTTCTCACTCCAATTGTGCTTTGGGTAGCCCAATATGGGTACAATATCATCACATAGAGGCACATTGTCCTTCTCAATAAAATTCTTCTTTGCATTACTTCTTTCGTTCATCGCGACCGTCCTGATTTTCTCTCGGTATTCTTCTCCCACTCCCCGGTCGGGATCGCTGAATCAGCTACCCCGACCTAGAACAGGCTAGCCTCCCAAGCTTAGGCAATAATCTGACCGTGCCCGTACACCGAGGCATCTCATCCCCAGTCCGATGACGGAGCTTTGCCCTCATGCCCACATGTCATGAACAGTTGTAATCTGTTACTTTTCTGCTCAGGGCTGCACTGACAAATTGGGCCTGCCTCTTCTGAGTCACAAAGTCACAGATCTGACATCGCACCCTCCAAAGCACTTCCGCCACCTTCCCGATTCCACTGTACTGAAAAGCTAGGCTTTTTCCCCCATCTTCTCTACTGCCTCATGACCGATAAGTTAGTGCCAGTAACGTTAGTCTAATCCAACCGCCGAACCGCGGAGGAATCATTCATTGGTGACCCACCAGTTGGCTTTTCCCTCTCGGGGCTAGGCGTCCCCGATGATCCGAAAAGTGAAAAAAAAAAGGACGGGAACCTTGAACCCGGGTTCCTTTGATTGTCGCTGTCTTATCTGATTGAGATTTTGGACATCCTCCTCCTAGTATGAATGAGTATACCCTCCCAACACCAGACAGAACGACTCAAAGTCAAACCCTACAATCTCTACAGCCACTTAGTAGACGTACTATAGAAGCCCATAGAGAATTCGAGAGGAAAAAAAAAGCCTGGTAAAGAAACTCAACCAGAAAAAAAAATAGATGATCCCCAATCAATCCCAACCTGATCATCTCCTACATCCTGCAGACGACTCTGTACTCCATCCAGAATCTAAGATCAATCCTGTCTGTCAGGACTCAGCCGCGACAAAGAAAAAAAAGTGGGACATTCTATTCCAGAAGGGAAATGGAAGAATTAAAATCGAGGGATCAATTACCTAAACCATGGGCCAAAAAAAGGAGAGTCAAGACTTGAGACCCATCAGGATCGAAAAGTTCCGAGGAGATAGAAACACGGCACATGAAGCACCTGACTTACTGTCTGTCTAGTCTAGTTAGTTCAAGGCTCAGTTCTTCCTCCCCGTCCCGCTTCCTGTGTGAGAACTATTTACTTCCGGCACTATGATACTCACTAACAACTGCTCTTCTGTAGTCGTCGCCACTACGGGATAGATTGAGACGTGCACATCTAACAATTAAAACAAGAACTTGGTTCCAACCTGAGTTCATTCAGTAACCCTGGCCAAATATGTATACTTAGCTGTCTTTGTCTCATTCCAGCCAATCGAGAAGACCCCGAGACGCAGCATGTTCAATACCTCTTTCCCATGGATAACAGTTTCAAGAAAATGCACATGCTAAGAAGAGAGGTCGCCAGTTTCAAGACAAATCAGAATATAAATATAACATCCTCGCAACCTTATCGGCTTGCGAAAAAGAAAAAAAAAAAAAAAAAAAGACAGACTGTAATAACAAACTGAGGCGACCAGTATCACATACATAGAGGATGAGTGCAAACAGAAAATGGTCTCGCCCTGCAAGTAGTCATGTGTAGAGATACATACAGTAGGGAACAATCGGGGGTGCGCCTGTCTGGGATAAACAAGAGATAAATATAAGTATCGATGATGAAGGGAGAAAACAATCCATATACGCTGGGTTTTTGTCATGCACGTCGTGATTTCTTATGCTTGCTTCTAGTTGCACGGGAAGGGGGATGGAGGGGAAGGAGTTGAGTATGTCTGTTCTCTACCAATCCACATTAAATGACCATTCTCCTGTTGATCGAAAATCAGTGAACCATTCACCCCGAGTATGAAGAAACAAAGAAAGGGAAGAACGTACCATTTTTCAAATTCTCTGCTGTGTCGCTCAGCAAAATCACCCGCCGTTTGTTACAGTAAGCCGTTTTGTCCAAAATATCGACCTTCAGCTTTGCGAGCTCTGGTACCGGTTTCTCGAACATCTCACTCAGACTCTCCACGGCCATCTCTAGATCCTTCTGATTGTCCTCGAAGATCTCGGTCAGGTTGTTGCGCGCGAGGTAGTAGGCAAACGCATACGTCCACTTCAGGGTCTGTCGGCATTGTTGCAGTGCCTGCGATGCGGTGTCCAGAAACTGGACTTCGATCCACGAGAGACCGGATTGCGACTGAAGACTGGTCATCTTCTTCTCCGTCTTCAGGTACAGGTCCTTATCCAGCTTGGCCGACTGCTCGTGGTTGGCATATCGGTTGTAGTAGTGGAGGTACCGCTCCAGCGACTCCCGAGATCGCGCCTGCGCAGTGCGGGCCTCGGACCCGGATTTCTCCTCGTACCGGTTGCAGTTGTACCAGCTGGTGCCATGCTCCGACCACAGTCCCATACACATCCAGCAAAACTCATGCTTGCACTTTCGACACGTCATGTGGTTGCAGCCCCCGTTCTTCTCGATCGTTGAATGGCATCTCGGGCACTCTTTCGTGTTGGCGGAGATCCAGTTTGCGGTCTCGGAATCATCCTCACACTTCTTCAGCCACATCTTGACCAGCATGCAAGGTGCAGGCTGATGGTCGTTGAGTGTACATCCAAAACAGAAGTAGTGCTTACAGTCGCACTGGACTGTGGGCACAATGCGGCGCAGATCACGCTGCTTGATAGGACAATCCACCGCATATACACATTCCGGTGCAGGGCACCATTTGAGATTATCTTTGTCGTCGACGTACGTCCGCATGAGAAGAGCTTTGTATCTGCCCGAAAACATCAGCGTTGTGAGCAACATCCCCCTTAAAATCGGGTCCATCTTACCTTTCCCGTAGATCATCCGTCACAAGCAATCCCAATGATTTCGAGTCCACAATCATGTGACAGTCATTGCCGGGACATTCGATCCGCGCTGCCTCACCCTCCCCGCGAATCTTCTGGGCCAGGTAGTGGCGATAGCAGTCAACGCAGAAGCGGTGCCCGCAGCGCATAGCATACGTCTCGAGCTCGTCGCCATCCTCGCAGCAAATCTCACACATGAACCCGGATACCACCTCGGTCTTCGGCGTTCCCTCAAAGTTGGTCCCCAGGCCCGCCTCCTCCAGAGTCTCTTCCGGATGATCCATATACGATTCGATCAACTTCTCGCGTTTCCACCGTCCGTACCGCAACAGGATGGCCGACGACTCTGGGGGCAGGCCGAGAATCGAGGAAACCTCGTTGATCTGCACATTCTGCTGCCGCTCGATATCGTCCGGGCTCAAGACTTTGAATTCCACCTCGTACGGCTTCCGTTTCGTCGCGATGATATCCTTGTCTTTGGAGAACCCGCCGTCAAAGTCGTCACCGAAATCTGTTTTCCCAGGAACAACACGGGTCAGTGTTACGATCGACGCACAAGGCAGAAGAAGTGTAGGAGAGAGAGGGAGAGCATTAGGAGCTAGCATCATCACGTACCGTCGCCCAGGCTCTCGACATCACTGCCTTGGGTGTCTAGAAAGTCATCGGGACTGGAACCGACGCTCATGAAATCCTCGTCGGACTCCATGCTGGTCGACGCAGGGGTAACGAGATCAGTCGCCTTCGACTTCTTCTCCTCCTCCAACAGATCCGAGAGGCCGTTGGAGATCGCAGCAAGGGATTCGGTGTCGGGGTCCCGGACGGTCGACTTGAGCTTTTTCCGGGTGGATTTGGCAGAAGAGCAGGGTGCGGTGGCGGCGGGCGCGAAGGCGACGTTAGTATCGGAGGAGGTGGTGGTGGCGGCTGTCGCTGCTGCTGTGGTCGCGTTGTCTACAAGCGTCGCCTCGGCCGCCTTTCTCTTTCTCGTGAGGGGAGGCGTGGTGAATAGCTTTGGGCAGAGTCCGTTGGCAAGCCGGGGTTTGTGTTGACACGAAAAAAAAGTCGGTCTCGAGATGGTTGGTCGAGACCTTCCTTTTTTACCGGGGCAACACAGTCACAGCCTACCAAGGAATCAGGGTGAGGTAAATTTTCCGAGATCCGAAGGATGGGATGGAAGGGAAAGGAAGGAGTCCGTGGTGGAAAATCGTGAAGGATTAGTTTTCAATATGATTGATGCGTAGCTTGAGGTTATCAATCTGGAGAGGGGTGGAGGAAATGGGAAAGAAGGAGAAGAAGCGCGGATGTGGTAGTGGTGGTAGTGGTGGTAGTCAGGGTGGGTGAGTGGATGAGTGGGTGTCACTAAGGGAGCGGATGGACGTCACGGGAGAGAGAGAGAGAGAGAGAGAGAGGGAGGGGAGAGAATGAGATGATGTGGGGGCAGATCACTTGGTCCGACCGCCTTGACTTGCTCTCTCTGCTCAGCTCCTTCGGAAAACTACCGCTCACAACCCGAACAGACAATACAGCTCGTCAGTCCTCTTCAGACTTAAGTTGATGAAGATCGAAATCATGCAACGATAAATCTGTCGCCTCAGGGTACAAAACTGGCGAGCTCCCAACTCAGGTCAGGAGAAAGGAGAGAGAACACAGCTGACATCAAAAAAGGGATTTTATATGTCACCTTGAGGCTCCAAAGTGGGGACGGATGCAGGCTGCAGAGCCATTCAGCCTAGTTACTGACCCCGTACCACCTACACCCCCTGGCAGATCAATTGTTACTAGGATTGGGGGAAGGTGATTTTCGAGTTGAATATGTCGCAAGTCGAATAACCTCAGCTACACCCCCGTTTTTCCAGAGGAATGACGCATCCCATAGCTAAAATCTACTCTCCACGTAGCATCTGACCGCTAAATTTGTAGCCTGTTATTTCAGGCACCCAGGCACCCAGGCACCACAAGGTGTATAGTTATCATCGTTGACCAACAATCGATCATGATCGTAGCTTGGATTTTGAAAGCAGTCTATATGCCACAGTCTAGGTCATTCATTCAATCGTCATCTTCCTCCTCCTCGCTCTCTTCCTCTTCACTGCTCTCCTCTTCCTCAGCATTGGCCAACCAGTCAACAAACTGCTGTGCTTGGCTGCGCACTTGGCGCATCTCCTCGGTGCTGCTCGAGCGCTCATCGTCCCACCATTGCTCGTAGGCTTCCTCGTCAATGATTTCCAAGTCGTACAGCTCCTTAGCGATGAACAAGAGAACCGTATCGCCACGGCTGCGGTGCACCAAGTCCTGCTGAAGGAGGACAAGCAGGTCAACCTGGTCGGGCTTGTCTTCACGCTCGCGGTCGAACAAGGCCCGCTCGACGATTTCCCGGTATTTGCCGAAGATCTCTCGGACCGCCTCTCCGGCGCCCTTTCCACCTTCCATCAACTGCGCCACCCGCTTCATGAACGCGGAGACCACGGCGCGGCGAACCTGGTGGTCCGAGGCGTTGGCCGTCATACGCAGACTGACCAGTTCCAGCTGAACCACATCCGACGTGACGCCTTCCCGCAAACTGTCATAGACGCTGGCCGCAGCATCGTGTACAAAGTGGTCCGAATCCTCATCATCAGACATCGTAGTACTAAAGCTCCCAGAGCGGGAGCCGCCAAAGTCGGAGATCTCTGATGAAAGTGTGGAGATGGAGTCGGTGGATAGCGAGAGATTTGCCATGTTGTAGACTGCAGGTGTACGGTTAGCGAGAATCAGGCATTCAGCCGAAGGGAAAGCACTTACTCAATCCTGACGAGGCGTTACTGGCTGTGTCATCCTCATCCTCATCTTCGTAGGGAACATATTCGTAGCCCGTACCCCCTTCTCCGACAATCTCAGGCTCGCTAGTGGGTACACCGTCGTCCTCGTCTCTGGGTGCTTTCGTGATGCGCAGTCCCTCGGTAACCTTAACCCCGTCGGCGATTTCCACGCCGAAAGAGATGAGAGCACCAGGCTCGACGGTACAGTTCTTTCCAACAACTGCCCGGTCGGCAACGATGGCTTGTCTGACTGTCGTTCCGTCACCGATAACAGCACCGTCCCAGATGTAGGCACCTTCCAAGGTGACGTTCTTGCCAATCTTGCAGTCCCGGCCGAGAACTGTATCCTTGACCGTCGTCTTGTCCCCGATACTCGTTCCCTGGCCGATAACCGTTCGGCGGCCGATGACACACGAGCGGGCCAGAGTCACGCCCTGTTCCTGGTACAGGCTTCCCTTGCGGAGCTCGTAGTTGTGTCCTGGAAGGAGGTTGGTGTCGGGGCAAAGAGGATACGTCCATCGGGAGATGATATCCTTGCTGATAGCATCGTACGCCTTCAGGTTCCTCACGCGGGCCGCATAGTGGTCCTTGATGATGTGCGTGTGAATCGTCTTGCCGTTCAGCTCGTAGTCCTTCAACACACCGAACAAGAACTGCTTGCGCGGCGCCTGGTAATCGAAGCTGTCGGACCAGAGACTCAGCACATCAGGCGTGCAGATATCGATGTTGCAGTCGATCAGGTCCTGGCGCAAGTCGATTTCCTGATGTGACGTGATGATTTCCGGTTCGATGTTCAGGCGCGTGGAATCGGGGTTGTGTTGGTCAATCTCCTCGTAGTGCAGACAACGGTCCTTGGTCGGGTCGATCACAAAGACGGGGGACACGGAAGAGGCCTTGGTCCGGTGGTTGCGGCCGGCTTCCCGCAGGATCATAGTCATGATCGCATTCTTGTCGGCTTCGCGACGAGCACGGTGCTTGGCCAAGGCGCCTTCGATCGGCAGGTTGCTGATGACATCGCCGCTGACGACGATGAAATCTCCGGTAATCAGGTGCTTGCCATCCAGATCACGCATGACATCTCCGACCGAGGTTGACGTCGACTTGAGGAAAGTCAGCTGCTTGAAGGGCGACGAGGGCGCTCTCCACTTCGACGCACTATCCAACACCTCTTTGTCAGCCTCACAACATCAATCTCAACATGCACGCGAAAATGCGCCAGCCTTCCCCGAAATTTGATCCACATACTTGATATATCGCTCCAGCTGATCCGAATGCGCACCACCGTAGAGGAAGACATCCTCGACACCCGCATTGGCCAGGAACTCAAGGGTATATTCGATAAGAGGTGTGTTCGCGAGCGTCAAGAGACACTATATCCTCCCCCAACAGGTGTTAGCCCACGTATGCTCATGATTCCATTGCCCTCCCCGCCAGACTTTCCAAGCACAGCACACAACGTACCCGAGGTCTTTCCAGAGTGAAGGGCTCAAATCTCGTCTCAAAGGTATCCGCAAGCACCTAGATCACAAACCACCAGAATGATCAGCCAAAGTCCAGCTTCGATGCTCGAGCCGGCCGGCCGGGATCTCCTCATGGAGAACGTTTTCATGAAAACCAAACATACCACCGCCTGGAGCGTCTCCTCTACCGTCTCCGCAGCATTTCCCCTCTGCTTCGGTGCGCCACCTTTCTTCGGACCCATCTAAAGTAGTCATATCTCAGCATGATTTCATTCGCGGCCCGGAAGGAGGAATTGAGCCCAGCGGACACAAAAGAGCACAAACTCACATCGGATAATTTCAGAAGTATAAACTAAGGCTTTTCTTCTGGCAACTTTTGTAGTTTTTGACTCTGCCCAGCCTTACCCAAGCGCGTAAAGAGTCTTCTCCGGAGCTGAGAGAGAGTTCGTAAGTTCGAAGATGAAGCTCACGGGGGAGATGCCGACGCAAAGTGACAACCGCGTTGGAGAGAGAGTCGCAAAATCTCCGCCAAGCCTTTGTCCCTCCGTCGGAGTCAGACTTCATCCCACCTTGCGACCTGTTTGCTTTGTTTGCCGAAGCTCATTGCTGTCGCGATGGGTCACGTGGGATACTGTGTCATGTGACGGGAGAGCCCTCAGCCACAGCTGCTAACCGCAGTTGGGAGTTGTCGAGTCCAGAACGTCATCCACGGTCTGGGCCCTCCTGGACTCAAAGGAATCCCCCTTGTTCAGGAACCGTGGGTCTAGAACTCAAGCTGCCATAATTTAGCTGATGAACGCTCGATCGGGGGGCCGCTGAAAGCTTGGGTTGCGGTGGGCGAGGATCAGATCTGCCTCTGAGGGCCGAATGAGTCTAAAAAGTGGTGTCCACGGTACCGTAGATGTATCCCTTTTTGGTAGCTTACGTGTGCTGTACGGACTCAACTGAAACAACGTTTCCTGGCTTCGAGAATCAACTCAAGCGACTGCTTTATGGAAAGAATCTGTGTGGTATTGATGCATAGGAATGCTGTTGTATGTATCTTGAATCACAAATCTTCTTGGAAGCAGCTTTTCTGCAACTTCGATAAGATAACAAAGACGTAAGAGAGAAATTGCCTGCACACCAATGGGATTACACAGATGCCAGCGCCTCAACGATCCACAAAACTGATAATACGTACAAAAAGATGATACTAATGCTGCCAGTCCGTGGGCCCGTGAACGGGCCCACGAACCTGGATGCCAGGAAACAGAGACCTTCAGAACTAGCCCAGTCACCCTATACGAATAACAACCGACCAGCTTTGCTGCAAGCGGGTCCCCAAATCAAATGCAAATGATAAGACGCGCCCCGACACCGTGATATATCGTATAATTCCAAAAGGGACAGAAATGTAGCACAACTCCTGAATGTCACCACAAGGTATGGTTTAATAACCATCGCAAAAACGTTATGGAAACTCATGGAATGGAGAGCTCGAGGATAGGATGTTCAACGAGCGGAGAGATGAAGAAGTAGATGGATGGAATCTAGGTTCACCGCTATTGCAAAAGGGGAGGTGGGAGTGGCGGGGAGTGATACAAAGATAGCCGCACGTCAGCTAGCCGGTTCGTGTGGCCTGCATGGAACTGACGATAGGCTGGCTTGGATGTGCGTACATCCGCGGCCTCTTGGCCATGCCCGGGTTTTCACCCGCACTCGACATTTCTGAAAGTTGCCGTCGTACCTGTGGCCGAGCAGCGGGTGCTGCTTGGGCAAGGGCCACAGTGGGAGTGGCATATTGAACGCCGTTTTGATCAACGGCGTATGCAGCGGGACCCGGGGTCGTGGGGACATACTGACTCGGGACAGGCTGCATGCTATGAGGTACAGCAGCCATGCCTTGGTATTGGCCCGGTGACTGCCAGTTGTTCACCGATGTTGCCGGTGACTGGCCTGGAGAGCTGTCCTCTTTGATCGAATGTGCGGCGGAGCTCTGAGCAGCCATCGTGACAGGTACGGCTGGCTGAGGAGCTTCTATAGTCTGCGATGCGACTTTCAAATGGGACAAGTGCTTCTCAAGCATATCGAGAAGACTCTTTCGCGTGAATGGTTTGGGAAGGACATCGTCCATGCCTGATTCAAGTCAGTCTACTTTGGTACTGTAATGAGCAGGAGATCGAGAGAAATGACGTACCATGCTGGAAATAGAGCTGTATATCGTCGCTCCTGATATTGGAGGTCATGGCTATGATAGGAGTCCTATCAAACTGGCGGATGAGATGCGTTGCGGAGACACCATCCAGATTAGGCATAATGATATCCATGAGAATCAAATCATATCCGGGGTTGGCCTGGGCTTTCGTCACGGCCTCTAATCCATCGAGCTGGGAGCCAAGTCAGCGTTGAATGCGAGAAGAAAGTTTTGCGAGAAGCATACCGCGGTATCGATGATACAAGAGAATGAGTATAAGAATTTTCCGCCGATCTGACGACACGTCTGATCGTCTTCCACAAGCAAGATACGAGGGCTGCGGGCCCAACCAGGATCGACATTTGCGCTCTTCTTGCGATTGTCGGGAACTTGTTGGACCTGTTGTACTTGCTGGACTTGCTGGACCTGTTGGACCTGCTGGACTTGTTGTCTCCGAGAGTCGTCGACCTCTTGTTTCGGCATTGGGTAGGGAACATTCTTGACATGCTCGCCGTACATAGGGTCAATTCCATTGGTCGCACCAACGGGATAAACCACGGGCTCGACATCACCATTCATCTTCGAGTACACCAATGCTTGGTTTGCTGCCGCAGCAGGTGCGCGCACCACGCCATTGCGTGAGGCGCCATCCATGCCAGGGGCAGGTACAACCGCCCCGGCAGCCTTGGACGGATCAGCAACCCCATCGAGGCCGACTAGGTTGAACTGAATCTCCGCGTTCATATCATTCAAGAGTTTGGTGGCCTGCTGCAAGGGCGAAGAAGGCTCGTCGTCCATTGTAGCCACCTGGGAAGGGCTGAGGGTCGAGCCTGCTTGACCCTGGGCCTGGAAAGACGCAGCCGCCTTACTGTCCCGCCGCTGGCGGGCGTCGACGGAGAGTAGGTAGTTCATGACCTGGTGAATGACACTTTCGTGGTTGAGAACCGTTTTCTGAACTCGCATCACTTCCTGCAACATCAACTGATGATCGACAGTCAGTTGCGCATAGCGGTCTGACAAGTGCTGGATCTGTTGTTGCTGTGCCACGATCTGTTGATTCAAGAGATCAATCTGTTGGGTGGGGACCGAGTCGTCGGTGGTCTGGGTCTGTTTGCGCGGGGCGGGAGCCTTCCGGCGGATGTTGTCGAGCGACTCCTTGCTGTTCGCTCTGAACTCGGGATGCTTGAATTCCCACGCCTGCAAATCCGATTAGAATAAGACTAGCTTCCGCTGCGCATCCCTGCACACTTACGTTTTGCCCATAAGGTGACTGTCCATTCTCCTCGTTGTTCTGCCTCACTTTGTGGAAATCGTACTTGTTGAGTTGTCGCACGAAACTGGCAAAGTTGCTGTGTTTGAAGTGCTTCGGCAGAATAGTCTTTGTGAATTTCTCACACTAAGAAGATGACCGCAATTAGTGAAAGGGTTTGCGATCGCGGGGGAAGTTGCGAGGTGCGAGACACGGTACCTCCAAGACGACGAAGCTGTCCCCTTCATCACCCCATCGCACAATTTCCGCATAGGACGGGTCCTCCAGCATCCTTTAGAGAACGTCAGTATGCATGTTAAAAGTAATATAGTCGATCGTCGATACCGATTTGGCGCAGAGGTGGAATAGAGGGCTAAGGGGGGGGGGCGAGGCGTCGGGGAGGAGGACAGGGTTGGATGAGAGGCGAAAAGCGACGATCAAGGAACGGGAGAAGCAAATAGAGAGGCTCACTTGTAGAGTTTCCGTACCTGAGCATGATGGTTAGCAACTGAAACATATAGTAAAACAATACGATAGAACAATATTCTCGAGTATGGGTTTCACGAAGATCACGACGAAGACTTACAAAATCGCTGGAGTTGCCGGCAGGGGCGGCGCTGGTCGAGGTCTGGCCACCGTCCATCATGGGCTAGATGGGTCGCGACCGATCGAACAAGCAACAGGCTCAACACACGTCGCAGCGACCGGGAAGGAAAGGGAACCAGTCGGGCGCTCAATTCAAAGATCGCAAAGAAGTAAGAAATATGACTATCGGCGACGAGCCGAGAATAAAAATAAATAATAGGAATAGAAAAAAATGAAAGACACAATCAAGACAGAGGAAAGAAGAAGAAAGGGAGAAGGGAAAAAAATAAAAAAAGAGGAATGGGGGGGGGTGGGTGTGGGTAAGGCAAGAGAAGGGGAAAAAGAGAATAGTAAGGTAGGTAGTAAGTTAGCATGGACTGGACTGGAGACTCGACTTTAGACCCTCCGTCCGAGTGGCCGAATGGGCGGCGCAACAGGTGGATTGAGTGGTGTGGTGGAGGTAAGTTGAAGGGAGTGAGTGTGCCAGTCTGGTAGGAAAAGGGAATGGAGATTAATTACCATTAGTTAATCCGATGGGTTTTTGGTTTGAAGGTGGGACTGGGTTGTGGCAGACTGGCAGACTGGCAGTCAGTCTGGCAGTCAATTCAGTCTTTAGGAAGAGGAAAAAGAGGAGGGTTGGAACCATTGACTTGATTTGGCCGGGCGGCGGCGGGCGGCGTTGGCTTGGTAGAGTTGTACCGTACCGTACCTTGAAAGTCGAAGGTGTTTTTAGATGTCTAAGAAGGGGAAAATAATTAATTTGATTTATAGATTCATCTACTTGGGTATTTTTTTTCTTTGTCTTGGTGCTCGGAAAGCTCATCATTATCGTCACCATCATCTTCTATACTACCCGCTCGACCGCTGGATGTGCTGTTTCAACCATTTGGCAATGTATACCTCGCCAGTAGACTTTTTGTAGTAGTAGTAGTTCATTGTAGTAGCCTGGAAAGTGGGTTGCCCCAAGAGTAACAGGCAGTAACTAAATCATTAGTAGTACTGGTTAGTAGTGTGGTCACTAGCCACAACATCCGATGGTCAGGTAGTCATTCAGACTATTGACTATTGATCTCCTTGACAATGTACTGTATTCTTGTTAACTCCTTCCCTTCGCTTGAATGCGCAACCGTAGACAATACCGAAAGATAATATCGTTGCGATCATTTGCATTGTTTTCAACTTCCCCCCTCTCCTGCGTATTTGCCAGGCTTTGATATGCCCGAATTGGCTTGGATTCCTTTCCCCCCCCCCAAAGCAAGGAGATAGGAGGGGTAGCCAGGAATTCTAACCCTCACTAAAATTTTAGAGCCTCGGAGCTAACGAAGGACAACTCAAGATGGGCCAACCCAACTGGGACTCTCTTAACACACGAAACAACGTCACTGGACAGAAGAAAGAGACAAAACCAGGATTGGGAGAGAAGATCACGAAAGTAGTTGAAAGGGGGAAAAGAAAAATAAATACCTGAATCCCGCGATTTGGCGAGCAATTCTGGCGGAAAAGCCGGTTGGAAGCTGTCAGTGCGCCTGAACGGTTGCAGACAAGCTGCATGAAAAGGATGGGCAGGATGGGGGGGATGACATGGAGATAGGCTGGTGCCGCTGGGAGGGGCCGTCAACCTGTGCGTCCACGATCACCTGGGCAGAAATCAAGACTGCCTTTACTGGTGTCTCGTTTCGGCTCCGACAAATGATTGCCTAGTACTCCGTACCGTCTGGAGGATGAGAAGAGGGGGAGGGAAATCTCAGACAGTTCGTTAGGCTCGAAGCTAGGAATGCGATGGCATCAGCCATGAGAATGAGCGAAATATCACCTTCTCAATTTAAGTATCGGTAAGTAGTTCAGTCCCTCTCCCGTCTCTCCTGTCTCTTTTTCACCCACCCCCATTATGATCATCAAACAATGATGGAGATCGGGGATCCATTCAGTGAGGGGAGGTTCACGGGATTCGGCAACGGCTGCCGATCACTCGCTGAACCTCGCTGAATAATACTTCGATAGCCGACAGGGCCAGAGAAGAAGAAGAAGAAGAAGAAGAAGAAGAAGAAGAAGAAGAAGAGAAGATCAGACAGAACCGTGCAATTCCCAATTTGAGCCAGTGATTGTGATCAATAACTTTCACAAATTGCCACTATCACAGCTGGTCAGCCAGTCCAATACCAATCACAGATTTAAAAGTACTATGAGTCCGGTAAATGAAGCTATGGCCTCATCATGCACGCACTAGTCCGGGGTACTGCGATTCTTATGGTCCCCATGGCGGCATGGCCCAGCGGTTTAATATAAAACGGTACCCGACTGCTTGGTCTCCCGCAGACTTGACTTCTCTCGGACTCGCCAACGGACATGGAAGACAGGGGAACAAAAAAGCATTCTGTCCCGTCCAGCCTAGTCACCAGCTAGGTTAGCTATGAGTTGGGTGGGATGCGGCCCAGAGTCGAGACTCATCGCACGGAGAAAGCCACTTGAATGTGCTGCACCCTTGCAGTCCGATATACTGAAGACAATGCAGGGCAATCAATCATGAAACCGGAATATGAACTGTCATCTTCCCAAGATCCAGCCCGGTCGACGAGGGTCCAATGCCTGCTCGGGTCAGCTTAATCTAGCTCTGGCAAATTGTATGCAGCTTTCTTCCAATCCGAGGATTGAGCCATCCTCCTCTATACATGCCGCGTAGAGACCACAACACAACATCAATATCCCGCCCGTCTGCATAGCGTACGAACTTGAGGTGGCAGACCTTGCAAGGGAAGCGAGGACAGCCTCGCCTGAGTCTGGTTTCTTGTCCTCGATCAAGGTTAAATCATTGGCACAATTCCTTTGTCCCATGGAATAGAGATGCACGTTTTGACAGTGAGTGAAGTCGGTTGACGTCCGGGCGCGATGCAGGCGGAAGCGACCATGACGAAATAATGTTCCGGGTGATTGGGGAGCTGCCCGGTCCACTCGCTCACTCACTCACTCCCCAAGCTCTCTCCCTCAGGAACTTCCACATCCTCTCTCTTTCTCTCTCCCCCCTCTTTTTTTCGACAAACTTTGTACCTCAACTCTGTTCAGGGGTAGTGGCAATTTCGAAACATCAAATCCAAGAAATCTCTTCCCCCGCGATATATCCTCTTCCGAGCTTCCACCTCATTAGTCAATTCATCAGTTCACAATGTTCGCCGCTCGCCGTTTGACCGCTGGCGTTCCTCGCGTCCTGTCCCAGAGGGCGCTTTTTCACAGCACCGCCCCGGCGTTTGTTCAGAAGGGCGATGCCATCCCCGATCTCGATGTCCTGGTCGAGAACTCCCCCGGCAACAAAGTCAACCTCGCCAAGGAGCTGAAGGGCAAGGGAGTCATCATTGGTGTCCCCGCCGCTTTCAGTATGTGTCATTCCCGGTTTTGCGCCTGAAACCTTGCTAGCCACGCATGACTTCCTCTGGCTTCATCCCTCAAATTGAGTTCAGAGCTAGTCATCTGCAGCATGGCTACCATACATACGATGTCGGATCGGAGGAACGTTATTGACCGGTCGTGTGTAGGCCCCGCTTGCTCCAGCACCCACGTGCCCGGCTACATCAACCATCCCAAGCTGAAGGAGGCCGGCCAGGTGTTTGTTGTTGCCGTCAATGATCCTTTTGTGTAAGTCAGGCGATCTGGCGAGGTTTGGATAGTATACTAATTCCGCGCGCAGGACCAAGGCCTGGGGCGAGTCTCTCGATGCCTCTGGCAAGAGCGGCGTAAGTACACACATTATCTTCTCTAGGCATGTCAAACAGACCAGCTAAATCCTGAGTGTCAGATCCGGTTCCTCGGTGACCCTACTGGCAAGTTCTCCGACGCCCTTGATGTTACCTTCGACAGCGCCTCCATCTTCGGAAACAACCGCAGCAAGCGCTACGCGCTGGTTGTCGAGAACGGCAAGGTCAAGGAGGCCTTCGTGGAGCCTGACAACATCGGCGTCAACGGTATGTGTACACTACAGTCTTTCACACGCATTATCCTCCAATTGCTGATGTGCTATGTACAGTCTCCGCGGCTGAGAAGGTGCTGGGTTAAGCGAGCCGAACGGCGTGACGCGGGCAATCTATTCTGTAACTATAGAAATCTGTTATACATGCGAAAAAACCGTATAATATGTATTCATGATCAAGATTCTTTCTCGCAACCATAGCAGAACTTTAGACACGGCCGGCAGTGTGCAAAGCCTCTCGCACATGGAACATTCCCTTCTCTCCAACGCCCGCAGATTATGATAGCCTTGTACAAGATTCTACCCTTGTACGTGTTGATGGAGACCCAGAATATAAACCTTCCATCGCCGATGATTGCCCGTAGTCTCTCGGCTGCAACACAACGTCTCAAACAGGGAGAAGCAGCCTCAGCCCTGGTGCAGAGCCTGCCACTGCTCAGGGGTGTAGCACTTGGGCGTCCAAGCATGGATGGCAGCGATCTCGGCCTTGAGGACCGAGTTTACCAAGCGGTGACGGGCGAGCATGGTCTTCTTATCGAACTGGGGGGAGACAATGACCGCCTGGAAAGCCTGGCCACAGCCACCTATATTGAAAAGAAAAAGTGGTCAATATTTCCGACGTCCATGATCAATCCAAGAAGCACAGCACAGCACAGATTGAATCCCACACACGGGGGAAACGCAGCAGAATCAATCAGCAACGTAGGTGACCCGACCTACCCGACAGATCTTCAATCTCCACGTGTTGCGCCTGGAGCTGGTCAAAGAGCTTGCTCTTCAGCAAGTCGGCGGTGACACCGGAGGTCGCATCGGCCATGGCGGCGTGGACGGCGGAGAAGGAGCGCGCGGAGAGGGAAAAAGTCGACTTCGGTGGGAGGCCCGGAGTGCGGAGAAGATAGCGGCAACTTCTGCTCAGCGAGGAGAAGGTGGTGCGGGAGTACATCAAGTAGTGCTTTGTGAAGGAGGGGAAGAGGAAGAGGGGAGAGGGGAGAGAGGCTTTGGTTGTTGTTATTAGGTAAAAGAAAGTACTCCGTTGAGACTATGATGTGTTGCGCGATGGGATGAATATGACGATGCAGTTGGGGCTATGGTTTTTTTTTTGGCTGTAGACTTCGCGCGCGGGCGGTGATGCTTCTTCCGATGTAGGATGACGGAACCTCCATTGAAACTAGTAGTTAAGGGAAGGGCTTCTCTGCACTGCGATATTGGTCAGCGAAACCCGGCTGTGGCTGGTGTGGGCGACTAGTATGCATTTGGGGTTTAGTTTACGTCTGTGCGGTTGTGGCGTCAGCTCATCCTCGGCTTCTGGCGAGAACTCCTCTAGCTTCATTGATCTAGAACAAAGGGAAAACCATCGTGAATAAGCTCAATCTAGGTCATATCAAGAAGCAACACCCACCGGAACGTCCATATATATTTGCTTCGACTCGCACAGTGTCTATGAACTCTCTGTTTCGGCGATCGTCTCGTCTTTATTCCACAATGGCTGCTTCTTCGAACCCCGCCTCGTCGCCCTTCACCCAGGCTGTCGTGAGCTCCATGAGGAAGCTGTATGTGATCTCGTCTCGGGCACTGGATACATACTCCATTCTTTAACACTAATCATTCTTCCCATAGCTACCCTGAGTCATTGGCCGACAAAAGCTGGGACAACACCGGCCGTGAGCTCCCTCCGCCAGCCCCATCCCCACGCCCCCTCCATCCACTAATAGTACCGACGATGCAGTACTCCTCGAGGCCCCCTTCAACGCATCGCGCCGCCAGAAGAACTCCGTTCTCCTAGCAATTGACTTGACCAAAGCCGTCGCCGACGAGGCCATTGCGCGCCGCGACTCCATCGTCGTAGCCTACCGTACGCTTCTCTCTATCCGTCCCTGCATCCATTCCACCTCGAAACTAACCCACCTTTCCCTTGTTTCGCGCAAACATACAGACCCCATCATCTTCCGCGGCCTCAAATCCCTGACCTTCACGGACCCGCAACAACAGACCCTCCTCCGCCTGGCCTCCGAAGGCATCAGCGTGTACTCGCCGCACACGGCGATCGACGCGACCCCGGGGGGCATGGCCGACTGGCTGTGCGACATCGTGACCGGCGCCATCACATCCACCACCCCGACAAAACCCACCTTGACACAATCCTCGTCCGCCACGTACTCCCACCCAGTCTACCCCGCCCCGCAACCGGCCACCCAGGCAACCAAAGTCCCCAAGCACACCCGCCACACCATCCTCCCGTCCCCGCCGCCACTCCCCGAAGGCGTCGAGGACACGGCCGGCATGGGCCGCATCGTGACCTTCACGGACCCGGAACCGCTGACCGCCATCGTCGACCGCATCGCCCAGGGCGTCGGGTTCCCCGGCGGGATCCCCATCGCCATCCCGCAGGGTGCCTCGGTGGATGCACTGAAGATCCGCACGGTGGGCGTGTGCCCCGGCTCCGGGTCCGGCGTGCTGATGAAGAAATCCCCGATCCCCGATCTGCTGTTCACGGGCGAGCTGAGCCACCACGAGGCGCTGGCGGCCATCGAGCGCGGGTCCGTGGTCGTGGCGCTGGCGCATTCGAACACCGAGCGCGGGTACCTGCGGGCCGTGATGCGCGAGAAGTTGGCCAAGGAGGTGGAGGAGACCTGGCGGGTGCTGAGGGAGGAAGGGCTGCAGCAGCAGAAGGATGCGGAGGAGGGGTTGAAGGAGGTGTTTGCCGATGGCTCGTGCGAGGTGGCGGTTAGTGAGAAGGATCGGGATCCGTATGGGATTATGGTGAGACAGGGTTAAAGTGTTTGAAGAAGACCCATGTGGTGGGGACTTGGGTGGAAATGAGCATGAGATAGCTTCGTGTAAGTTGAGTCTCTTGCCGAGAGAGAATAATAGTACTCGCATCAACAAACGTATAAATCTATTTACAATTCCAACAAGTCAAACCAGAGTGCAAGTTCATCAACCAATATATACAATACCACACCACACACACACCTTCTCAAAGTATCTACTAGCTCAGTAGAACCCGGATCTCGCCCGTCGTCCGAGGGAACAACTTCCTCAGGCCCCATTCCTTCTCGTCCTCCCCGGCCTCCTCCTCATCCTCCCCACCTTCGACTACACCTTTCTCCTCCGCCCCATCCACACCTTCATCCCCATGACCACCACCCTTGGCCAACGAGCTCCTCCGCGCCTCATCCGCCCCGATAATCATCCCCTCAACGAACTCAAAGTCGCGACAGAACGCCTCGACCGCCTCCTCAGTCACGCTCTTCACGAACGTCGCGCTCTGCACCCGCTTCAGATGATCCGTGGCGTCCATGAGCGCCGACGGCAGGAAGTCGTCGAGCTGTTGGCTGGTGATGATGAGGGCGTCGGGCTGGAAGGCGGGCAGGGTGGTGATCTGTGCGATATCGGAGAGTTGGGGCTGCTGCTGTTGTTGGGCTTGTTGATTAGCTGGGTCGGTGGGCTTGGGGGCGGCGGACGGAGGAGAGAAGGGTTCCAGGGCTATGAGGAGAGTCTGGAGGCCGGATTCGGTAAGGAGGTAGTTGTGTTGGATGGAGAGGAGGTCCATGCGCAGGGCGGAGAGGGTCGCGCTGAGGGGTGGGAGGTGGGTTGCGCTGGCGAAGGGGTACGGGGTGAGGGTTGCGCGGGTGGCGAGGTGGATGTTCGTGAGGTAGATGGTTCGTTGAGTGGGAGGGAGGTCCTGGGCTGTGAATTTGGCGAGGTCGAGGAATGGGTCCAAGGCACAGCGGAGAACTGGGGTGAATCTGTTGGGCGTGGGTTCTTGGGTGGTGCTGATCTTGTTGTTGTTGTCGGTGGGGGAGGAGGGTAGTTCCTCTGCGCCGAAGGAGATGTCGTGCGATTTCATGAGAAGGGTGAGCGATTCTAGGGCGTCTTGGATAAATTGCGGGGGTGAGAGATCGTCTGGCGGGGTGAGGGCCGAGTGATCGGTCGAAAGACTGCCGACTTCCTCCTGCATGAGGGTTTCGAAGTGGTGGAAGGTGAATCTCTCCAGGGTTTCGAGGAGCTCGGCCAGGTTGGATTGAGATCCAAGGAGTTTGGCGAAGGTTGTTCGGTAGAAGGAGAGGAGGTTGACCACCTTGTAGCATGTAACGGGGTCATCGTGGCCTTGAATGACCAATTCGACTCGCTGGCGAAGGGCCCGTGAGACGCCGACCAGGTCACGGTTGACGAGATCGCTGAGGGCTTTCTGTCCGTCGAAGGTGACTTCTTGGTCTTCATCGATGCGTGACCACGGCTCACTACTTAGGCCGGCCTGGATGCCCTTGGCGAGCTCCTCGCCGTCGTCAACAAATAAGGATTCCAGGGCTTCCCGTTCCGAAACAGTGGTTGAGTGCACCCAAGCCAGCATATCGCCAATGTAGCGCAGAGGATCGTGTGCAGAAAACTCGATCGGCTTCACCTGACGGTCACCGCCACCTCCGGCAACTGCATCCGTAAGAGCATAGTGGAAGGCATCAGAGAGAACGTAATCCCGAGCCTCAGCGAAGAAATCCAGACAACTGTGAAACAGACTGGGTCGCTCCGCCAGCACGCGGAGAACGCGCCGGATGGAGCTGCTGATGCGAGGGTCTTCCAGGTTGAGAGACCGGAACTCTTTCTGAATCCATCGATAGAGCTTCTGATAGGCGGAGTTCAGGCTCCTGGTGCTCTTCTCCATGAGCTCCAGACCGAGTCGCTCGTTCTCTCCACCTAGAAGCACTTCGCAGTCCCGGTGCACCTGCTTCACTCGGGCAAGGACCTCGAAGAAGTGGTCATCAATTGGTTCCTCTGCAGCCGTCAATACCAGAATTTCCTCCTCCGGGACAACAAAGTGTTGCGTGAACGCATCGAGCAGCTGTTGTTTGGTCTCCGCCTCGGTCTTTTGCCTCATCAACGCAGACGCTTCTTCCAGAACGGGCGTTGTATCCTGTTTGGCCAGAACAATATGTTTGCGCATCTCCTCGCACGTTTGGTTGAGGTTGGTGATGACCGTTCCGATCCGCTTCAGTTGCTATTGAATCATATAGTGTCAGTATCACTTCACTCCCAGCTCTGGCTCCATGGGGGCCTATCTTACCTCCGCAACCTTGCCAAAGTCGCGCACAATCTCAGCATTGCAGTCGACGACTTCCTTCTGAACGTCTAGACGGAGTTGCCTTCGGACTTCTGCAGTATTATGGATTCCTCGGAGACTGAGGGTCTCCAAAGCATCACGAATGTCTGAATCCGCGTATGAGGCGGAAAGTACACTTGTCAATCGGTTGGACAGCGCATTGGATCGCTGCTGGGTCGGGGGAGAGAGCGGAGAGGAAGCTGGGGAGGAGGCTTTTGTCGAAGTATGGCTTGTTAGATGTGCATTCGGTGGGAAATAGCTCGCCATGGTGGCTTGATCGAATGGCGCCTGAGCCAGCTGCGTGTAGAGGATAATTGGGAGCTGCGGAGTATCGCAACAGAAGCGGAGAAAGGCCCGCAGGCGGAAAAGGAGCGGCGGGAGCTTGCTTATGTCAGGCGTTTTCAGGAACAAACACACCCCGCGGAGAAGAAGGAGCTGGCAACCATGTTCATGGATGCATTGATTGTTGGCTTTGTGTCATTCTTCTCTAATTTCAACTCATACGAGGCCCTTTCTGCATAGTATCACCTCAAACCACTCTTACAGATTGCCATACTCTCCATGGATAGTCCTCTTTTCTCCCCCGCCAAGGCACGTCAAGCTGCCATTGAAGCCAAGGATTGGGCCTATGTGAACACCTGGCTGAACCGGCAGTATGCGCCTAACCCAATCCCCAAGTTTGAACGGAATGAAGACACATTACGGACCTTGCTTGCCCTCGCTGCCGCCAATGATACGGCGGATGAAGAGGCAATGGTAGTGCATGAAGCACGCGAGCAAGCGGTGCAAGCCTACAAGTCTCAGGAACGGAGCGAGGCGACGAAAAAAATCGAAATCTTGGATGAGATAGAGCTCTCACTTGATGAGAGCGGTAGACAGAGTCTTGACGATCTGGCGGAAACGACTGCAGTGCTTGGGGCTTTGAGCACCGATGCAGTTGACCTCGGTCAGTCTATCATTGACCTCACGACGGAGGAATTCAACGTGCAGGAGCAAATGTCTAAAGTGGAAGCACTGCAAAACTATCTGGAGAGAGAGCTGGCTACTCTGCGGGCGCAACTGGATGACCTTCGGAATAATGAAGCTTTTGAGACGCCTGCTGATCTCCCAGCATTGACGGCCGAGTGGACACGGAATACCAAGTCGCTGGGTGCGAAAGTGGGTGAGTATCAGGACAAAGTCGCTTCTCTTTCAAGGAACAGGGGCAAGGAACCTCGACTGGAAGATGTCATGGCAAAAGAGGCGGACGTGATAAAGCTTCTTGAAACAGTCAGAAGTCTGGAGACAAGGATAAACATGCTCCATGATCTTCCCGAAGATGTCCCTGGGGCTCGCGCGAATTGCAAGGAGCTAGAAAGGGAACTCCAAAGATTTGTTCGTGAACGAGATGAAATGGCTAACAGATAGAGGGAATGAGAATATTTAATTACGAAGAATGCACAAAGCTCTGTTGAATGTTGTATTAAACCTAGTGAGAGTAGTACAGTCAAAGGCTTGGTATCGTCAACTCATGAAAATCATAAGAACAATCTGCCCATAGCCGCCAGTGTTCCTCCGGCAATGATTCACAAGATGAAAACCGAAAGTCCGCTGCAACCCATGTTACAGTTGTACTTGGGTATTATGAAACCGATTTAGTTGTCGCCGAGGCCGACAGCGTTCTTGATCTTGTCACCACTGCTTGATAGTTAATATCAATCGTCAATTAGGACAAGGATGGAGGATACTGACATGGACTGGGAAGCACCACCGTGGGCGGTGTTGTCGTGGGAGCGCTGGGTCTTGTCGAAAGCCTCCTGAGTGGTGGACTTGGACTGGTCGGACTGGGTGCCACGAGCAAGGCGATCAGTGGTGTCGGTGAAGGTCTCCTTGACCTTGTCCTGGGTGGACTTGGTGGAGTCAGGAGTGATCTCCTCCTTGGCCTCTGCAGATGCATGTGAGTTATCAAGTCCGCAGCGAGGGGGGGGGGCAACTGCAGTAGACACTTACTGGTAGAGAAATCCTTGCGACCGGCGTCAGACATGTTGATTGATTGTTGTTTGAACGGAAGTTGTTCTCGAAAGAAGTTGTAGTAGAGAGTTGAGAAGTTTAGTTGATTGCGTGAGATTGTTGGTTGATGGAGAAAAAAATTTGAGAAGGTTGATGAAGAGGACTTTATATAACATTTGACTCCCATAGAAACCACTCGATGACGTCGTTTCGTTCATCTTCCACATTCACCATCACACGCCATCCGAGCCCTCTGTTTCGTATCCAGGGACGTTTCCATGGAAGAGATACCAGCGAATGGACGTCATCATGAGGAAGTTACCCCGGCCCCAATCATGGGGCAAGATCGAGATGATAGTCCTAGTCTGACGGATGTGGATGGCCTTTGGCTCCATTTGGGATACTGAGGCTTGCAGAGAATCAGGGAATTTTCCCACTTGCGATTGAGTCCAGATCCAAGTCTGGAACATGACGTCGTCATGACTCCATCCCCAGATTTCTGAAAACAGCTTAGCGCGTGTACAGCCGCCAAGCCCCCGGATTATCATTCTCACAGCTCCGAAATGAAGCTACCCTACTTTAGGACTAGCTCTGATTGGATCTATAACAAGCAAGCGGTCACAGTAGACAGAAAAGTGACAGTTGTTCACCGCCACCCGATGACTCCGCCCCGTTCGAGCCCGAGTCGCCCCATGCCTAACCGTTGCTGGCGCTTCCCGTCTCTCCTTCTGAATACTCATTCTTTCTCCTCTCTCTCTCTCTCTCTCTCCTTCCTGCTTTCCATGCCAACGTTCTCTATACGGGTCTTTCGACCACCATGTGGATTTTCTGCATCTTGATGCTTTCAACTTCTTCAACTTCTTTTGCAGACCCATTCTCATAGTCTTGTGATTCGTGTGATTTCTTCCAGTCAGCCAGTCTTTCCTATCTTTTCCCATTGATATCAACAACCCCGCCCTTATCTATCTTGGGCGCCTATTGAAGTCTCCTTGCTCCACACACCTTATTGTTTCTCGTTGTCGAATCTTTCAATGCCATCGTCTGCTGAGTCCAATTCGAACTGGGATTTCACTGCGGTGATAAACCTTCTTCGCACGCCTACCTACGGCGGCGGCAGCTCATATGCACCTTATCGCCACCGTGATTCTCTCCCAGCTTCCCAGTCTACCGAGGTAGCAAATCAGGATGATCCCACTTCAAAAATCTCCCAGCAACCTCAACTGAGCTCGGGGGTTCGCTCTCCAAGGCTTGGTGATTTTGGGTCACTGTGGGATTACTTGGGTGATGCCAGCAACCTGTCGTCCGATACAGACATTGAACCCCAAGCTCAAGGCCTGTCCCCATCCTCGCCACCGAACCTTCCGATCGAAATACTTCAACGCCATTCGTCCAGGAAGTCGGTAGTGAAGGACACCGACCAAGAACCTCCTCGGACACCCCCCAAACCCATCCCTAGCTCTGGGATTGCAAGAGCACGCAAAGTGCAAGCCAAGGTCATTGCTGAAACATGCAAGGCCAGCCCCAACAATGCATCAGCCAAAGCTACTCACGACCTGAGCTCAAGTGAGAGCAGCCAGGGTGCAGATTCGGACGGCAGTTTGAGTGTCTTCGATCCTCCCCTCACTACAAAAAAAGGAATCCTTTCCTTGGTTCCTCCGCAAGTGGGTGCAGCGAGTACTTCTGTCGACCCATACGATACCCCACCATCCTCATACGATGAGACGGTGGAGCCTTTGGCTTCGAAAGTTGCCAAGTGCCCGCCTAACCCCGACCCTTTGAGTATCCAGTCTATTACCTACAAGTCGGCCACGGAGCGGAGAATTGGTCTCTTGACCAAACTGTTGAAAAACTTCCCGGATTATGCAAATATCGTTGCCCAGGCGAATCGTCCTGTGGTCAGTAAGAAGGACAAGAATCCATGCCGTCCTATCCACGTCTTCGTGGATATGTCTAATGTAAGTCTCGCCATATGAAGCACCATATGCATAACTAACGCGTTTTAGATTATGGTTGGCTATCACGATACCATGAAGCTGTCTCGGAATATCCCTGTGAAGACGCGCATTCGGCGGTTGCCATTGTCCTTCCAAAACTTTTCTTTGATCCTAGAACGCGGGCGGCCCACTGCCAAGCGAGTCTTGGTTGGGTCTGACCGGTTTGCTGCCATCCGTGAAGGTGAACAGCTTGGCTACGAAACCAACATCCTTAATCGTGTGCACAAGGTCAAGCACATGACCGCCCGTCAGTTGAAGTTTCGAAAGAATCTTCGGACGGGCTCCCACGACCCCGGTAGTGGTTCTGAAACGAACGAGGGACCGGAGGAGCGTTGGGTTGAGCAGGGTGTGGACGAAATTCTACATCTGAAGATCTTGGAGAGTCTGCTTGATACAGACGAACCTGCCACCATTGTTCTTGCCACGGGCGACGCGGCGGAAGCCGAGTTCTCGGGTGGGTTCATGAAAATGGTGGAAAGAGCACTGCGACGCGGGTGGACGGTGGAGTTGGTCAGTTTTACTCCAGTTACTAGTTATGCTTATCGCCGGAAGGACTTTCGCGCGAAATGGGGAGGTCAGTTCCGGATTATCGCGTTAGATGACTACCTTGAGGAGCTCCTCGATATGTGAATTCTGCAATAAGGCCACGCACTGGCATCCAGCTTTGAAGTTTTTAATCCATAATATTTGCGTAAATTGTATAATTCCCCTTCCAGCTTGAGACTCGACTTTCACCCTATATGCTCAATTGCGGCGGAGTGTCTGGAGCAGAGCTAGTGACAGACGCTGAGGTTATAGATGTAGCACTGCCGACACAGACGTAGTACCCATACTCCATATCCCCCGGGGTTCCAGCTACAGAACTGGGCCATGGTGAGATCGTAAGTGTTAAGGATGGTTTGGGCAGCTGTCACACTTGTTGACATAGTAGTACTTGTCACCTACCTTTCTCCTGCTCATCAGCCCCGGAAGGAACATCCGATCAACCCCCAAACTCAAACTTGACCCGTTATCTAATCTATCTCATCTCCAATCTCCACAGCACGCCCTTTGGTGACATCGCCCAAAGCGCTATTCTTCCGAGTATAAAAGGGAGCACGTCGCGGGCGTTCTTGGGTTATTATTCATCGTTAGTTACTGATTCTGCAGCCCCCATACTGTGCGATCATGCATCACAACGCCGATACATCGAATCAAGAATTGACTGTTCTTAACCAAGAACCGGGGCCATCCTCCGACGATGTCAACCCCACTGGAGCCGTTAGTCTGGCTTTCCCCGAGGGTGGGCGCGATGCATGGACTTGTCTCCTGGGTTCTTTCTTGATCATGTTTCCATCTTTTGGGTTCCAGGCAGCTAGTGAGGATCCTGAGTACCATCCACTGGCGTTGGAGTCGATCATTGACTTTTTGCAGTCGGATCCGTGCAGGACTACATCAGCGTCAACCAGCTTGCGCACTACAGCGTTCGAGATGTTGGTTGGATTACCGCCATCTTCGTTTTCCTGACTCTGTTCCTCGGGGTTCAAGTCGGGCCACTCTTTGATCGCTATGGGCCCCGAATGCTGCTCGCTTGTGGCTCCCTGGCCAGCTTCTTGTCCTATCTACTTCTCGCCCAATGCTCCCGGTACTGGCATTTCATTCTCTGTCTCAGTATTCTGGGGGGAACATCTGCTGCCATTGTGACGACCGTCGCTATCAGTGTCCTGAGCCACTGGTTCTTCCGCCGTCGCGGGCTCGCGTCGGGGATCTGCATGGCCGGTTCTTCTGCAGGCGGGGCCATCTTGCCCCTCATCCTGCGCAAGTGCTTCAGTCACTACGGGTGGACCTGGTCCGTTCGTATTATGGCCTTTGTGGCCCTGGCCTGCTACTCGCTGGGAATCTTCCTTGTCAAGGGGCGTCTTCCGGCCAGTACCCAGAGTCGCGCCATAGTCGACTTCCAGGTGTTTCGCTCGCCTCGCTTCTGCTTCCTCGCCATCGCCGTCTTCTCGTTTGAGTTTATCATCTTTGGATGTGTCTCCCTGCTGCCTACATACGTTCGCTACGCCGGTCTCTCTCTCGACACCCAGTTTTACTCCCTCACTGTGCTCAACAGTATGAGTCTGATGGGCAGAGTGCTCCCCGGTCTTGCTGCCGATCTTTTCGGCCGGTTCAACACCCTTCTTTCCTTGGTGGTGATGACCCTCATAGTCATGGCGGCGGTCTGGATTCCCGTCGGATCTCACGGTCGAGCAACCCTGTATACTGTGGTTGCTATCTTTGGGTTCGGATCCGGGGGGTGGATCTCGCTGGCGCCGGTCTGTGCGGGACAATTGTGTCGGACGGAGGAGTATGGCCGCTTCTACGGGACCATTTACAGTGTCGCGGCATTTGGAGGGCTGCTGACGGTTCCCATCGGAGGAGAGTTGCTGCAGACGACCACACCGCAGGTGTTGGTGGGATTTTATGCCGCAGTGCTAGTCGTCGGGTTGGTGAGTATCGTCTGTTCGCGCTGGGCGCTCTTGGAATGGAAGTGGAGGTGGAAGGTGAAGATCTAGATAGGTACTTGGTAGATAAGTGCACATCTCAAGTAGTACATACTCCATATAAGCATCGTACGATATTCATTTACTTGCTCCTCATTTCTCTTCGCATCACCCACCTGGCCTTCGCATTTCACCCGTGGCTCCGATCCATCCCCTCGGGGCAGCAAGAATCTACACCGGACACGGGAAAGTACAATTCCCTCCGTCTACTACTTCGGCAACGAGACCTATCTTACCGAAGACATGCATACGCTTCCGCTCTTTAAATCAATCACATGCATCAGTTCCCTGTAATTGTAGGCGCAATCCTGATGATTCCGATGTCAATAGAAGTCAATAGTTGCGGTGCGGGATGGCGCAGGTCCTTCAATGTACCTACCTCGACATCTGAGCTCCAATCCTTCCACGCCAGACGAACAGCAATTGACACGCCATGACGGACTACCGGCGGCCGCACGGTACGATCGAGCCTGCTACCAGCCCGCCGCGCAGGCTGTTTATCTCCAGAACAACAAACAAATCAATCCCGTCCGTCTACTACTTTAGCAACCAGATTATCTTGTGAAATCTATATATCTATATATAAATATATACATCTACTCTGGGCTAATATTAAACCAACTATATACAGTAGTTCCATTTATGTATACGCGAAAGTCTGGTACTAATGCTAATATAAATCAATAATATCGCCGATCGAGGCCTCGAAGGAACTAAGATTCATAGATAGATGGTTGTTTCATTGATTCTAGCTATCTCGATTGCATACATGTCGCCTTCCCGAAGCGGTGAAAGGGGGGGGGGGCAGTACTTACATCGGGGAGCCGAAGGCAACACTCCCCCCCACGAACAAGCGGACGGCACCACGGCGATCGAGATGCCGGAAGCATGAAGGAAAAAAGGAAATAACTCGACGTCTCTAAGAAGGACGTGGAATAACAAAGGCAGTATCGAAGTGTCGAGAAAGAGTATTCGGAATCGACGTCACGACGAGAGCTCAGCGATTCGATGTAACGAGAAGGATTCAACGAATGCCTGGAAGTTTCCTGTGGATCGATTCGTCGAATGGCCACTGCTTCAACGGCTTCGAGCGGAAGTCGAGGTCTTGAGTGTCGTCCTGTTCGAGGAACCATTTCTCGATATCGTAGAGGATGCGCTGCGCACGAGAGGTGAACATAGTATCGAGAGTCTTGCCTTCACCCAAAAGGTAAATTTCCAGTGCGGTAGCACAGCGCCCGCGAGGACCACCTCGCTCGCATGAACCATCTCGCTCAATTTACTTACATTAAGTGCTTGCTTACTTAGTTGTGGTGACGTGCTTCGCATGCCCTGGCCGAGGCTGATCAGGAGTCACCCGATGGCCAGCCAGGACCTCGTGGTATAAGATTGACCAACCTACTAGCATTAGAACTTTCATTGAAGGACAACTGCAAAAAGAACGTAGTAAGCCTTGACACACATACTAATTTGAAGACAAATTCATATCAATTTTGTAGGCGAGCTTTATATATGGGTAACCTCTGCCGACCAAAGACTTGTAACTCTGTGTAATCTGCTGGGAAGATGGCATGGATGAGATTTGGCTCACGGTGGACTGGTATACTGTCAGCAACATGAAGTGAAGTCAGAGAGAACAGAACTGACCTTTGCTACGCAAAGTGGTCGCACAATCGATGACAATCCATTCTTGAATTGTGCCGTCCTCTATCCAGCCATAGTACGCTCCTCCCTCGCGGAACCTCGAGACATGCTCGTCAATCTTCCTGTGGTCACGGAGGACTTCGATGGCCCACTTCTTCTCGGGTATGTAGAAATCCACTCTGCCATCCTGCGTTCTGGACCACTCCGAGCAAATTGGAACCGCCTGCCCAGCGACCGACCTGAATGCTTTATAGAACTCGTCTTGGTACTGAGCTTCCACAGCCCTATATGTCGATGCGCTGGACATTTTCTTCCCCTTGGAGGCACGTCGTAAAGACATGACGGAAAAGCGACCGAGGACTTCACAACAAAGGGTTTGAAGCGTATCAAATCGTAGGGGCAGAGAGGCTGGTATACCGCCAACAAATTTTTCGACCCACCTAGTTCTGTTTAGGATCTTTCAAAGGAGGTAACATATAAGAGGAACTTACTTCTCGTGTAGACGTGACGGAAGAACAACCATGTCTTTTCCAAGAGGGCAAGTGGCATCAAGCACGATGGTCTTATATATCCAGCCGTTCACATAACATTGACCCATCCCTTCATTGTTCTCCTCCCATTCAATGCTTCCTTGCTCCGCAATATCTCCAAGGACATTGACAACTCGAGGTGTCAGTTTAGGGCCTTTCGGAAAAGAGCGAGCGACAGAGCAAGATGCGAGATGCGTCCAAACTTCTTCATCTTCTTTCAAGCAGAGAATAACATGCTGTTTCGTCATCACGGGTAGTTTCCCATGTGTAATCGGGCTGCGATAGTACTGGAGCCTAAATCAGCCACATAGTTCCATTCACACTTGACCAAAGATCATTGCCAAGATGGATAGTAAACAAAACATACTTCATAGATGTAGGATAGTATCGCGTTTACAGCTCCGGGATGTCCATTTGTGAAAGAGAATATATAGCCACCGGCTTCCTCATGTAGAGTGAAGTTGTCGTGATACTGGTACTTGATTTTTCGGGAAACAGCGTCGTCAAATTCGAGCCTGGTGTAAAAAAGGCCTATTTGCGGGGAGCCTGGAAACTGTTGCGGAGTGATAGTAATGCGCTGGCTCGTGGTAAATTCGGCTGGGATAAAGGGACCAGGCTCGACGCCGGTGGTTGGACTCCCATAAGAACAGACGAGGCAAATTCGCATGTCTTTCTTGACGACACCACTCAAGTTGCTCCTTGATAATTTCGCCCCAGAGTATCTCATCTTTGTATGACGCCTGTGCCTCGTCAACAAGAAGCAGAGAGTTTGGAGCGGAAAAGGCTGCTGGATTCTGCTTTGGGTAGCGATCCTTGAGCTTAAGCCCCAACACATCCCAAGCGTTATCGTAATCATCGGGAGCAAATTTGATAAGGTGTACTCCCCATGTGCCCATGAAAAAGACTTTCCAGCCGTTCTCGATAAGATGATCACGAAGCAGGCGAGCAAGCATCGTCTTTCCGCTCGCAGGAGTGCCCCGAACATGGGTAACTAGATTGTTTTTGATAATGTCGGCTAGTACTGAAACTGTGTCCTGTCGAGGACAGATGTTCGGGTCCTGCGCCTTAAGCGTGACTGTGACCGCGACACACTATTAGCTAGGATATGAGAGCAGTACAGACAGAACATAACCTTTGGATACTTCACTGGTCTCAACGTGCGGTTGCTCTAGACCACTGACGAACGGCGAACCTTCGGACAGAATCTCGAAATCATCATGCATCTCAAGCGTATGGCTGCACTCTTTGCATAGATCAAGTCGGCTGACTTGCTTGGACTTGTCAAGATAAACGGGGTGAATGCCTCGTTCACAGGGGCAGGGTAGTCTTATGTTCCCTGATGTGAGGAAATCGTTACACTTCCCTGCAGCCATGATTCGAACAATCGACAGCGTGGATAAGCACGATGCTACTGGGCTGTCAGCGCTGGCGGATTGCATGTCGAATCGTGTGTCGTAGCAGTGACAGGAGCTATAATAAGAAGGGAGAAACGGAAGGTGCTAAAGTAGGCCGAAGAAGGTGGGGAGGAAGAGACAGCCTGGAGGGGCTTGAGTGGTTAGGGAAACAGACGGAGCCATTAACAGACGGAGCCATTAACAGATGGAGCCATTAACGGGTGGAGCCATTAACAGATGGAGCCATTAACAGATGGAGCCATTAACAGACGGAGCCTTAACAGACGGAGCCTTAACAGACGGAGCCATTGAAAGCGAGTTCCGCAGTGACTCTAGGAGACCAACGGACGGAGGTAGATTTGGCTAACCAGTCAGCTCCAAGGTTGGCGGGTTCTTTGTCCCATGAAGTATACCTGTAGGCGGAGGACAACCACCGACGGAAGCAGGACGCGGGAGACAAAAAAACAGGATAACAAAAAGGAACATACTAAAGACACCTTACAAGGTTCTCAGAGCAGCCTATGCCCACGCGCAGTGAAGTTTTTCCATGAACCCAATGCCGAGGATTCTCACTAAATTCTAGACTACCAGCCACATGCATGGATGGGCTTGTAAGATTTAGCCACATGCCTCGGGTGTCATGTGCAGACACCATTCGAGCTAGATGCAAGGCATTGCTTGCTCTTCACATCCCGTACACAATGGACCTGACGCCCATTGCCCGAGGCCAATTCAAGAGCACGAGAGCGTTTTAGCCACTTCACGTCTTCCAAGTCAATGACAAACAAGTGGCGGCCCACATCGTCCCACAGCATATTACGCCACTCACTGTCACCATGGATGATTCCGTGCGATTGTAGAACAGCCAGAGTCTCATTGCGCTCCCTTTCAAAGAAGCTGGAGTTTTGGTCGTTGATAAAATACTGAAGTCGCATCCCAGACCAACTTAAAATCATCATCTGCACCATTAGTTGACCGTGATACCAATATGCAACACTTGGGTTGAACATCCCAATGCAGACAGGGATATAATAGCCCTGCAGGCTTTTCAGGTGGCTGTAGTTTTCCAACTCTGCCTGAAGACGATACTGCTTCTTTGTTGTGGTGGCTTTGATGACCACTGTGTATCCATGTGTGAGAAGGGTTGCCTTCATCAAGAAGCCCGTTCGGCCGCGTACATGTAACTGTTCAAATCCCTCATGTCGATTCTGTGCTAGTTGATGGTGGAGTCTGCGCGTGAAGTCTGCTGGGCCTATTGAATGCCTCTGACTGCTAGGATATTGCCGATGGCTCCGAAAATTTGGGCATTCCTCATCCAGGGGATTTCGGTTGACTATGCCACGTATACAGGCCATCGTACAGTAAGTTCGTGTAGTCTGGTTATCCACTTGAGACTTCTCGGCCTTGTCGCGCTGGCCAAATGACTGGGTGTTTGTTGCCCCTGCTTCGACTCGACCGGCTGCGCGCTGCTGCTGCGGTAGACGGAGAATGATTTTCTTCATCACTACCGCTTCCTTCGGTAGACGAATTCTTTGGAGTCGATATTTCCGGCTGACAGCGAGCTCGCGGCCGTGTGTTATGTGTCTTCGGCTCAAACTTCCAGTGCGAAGGTCGATAAATAAAGGTTGCCGGGCCTTCACGTCGACTGGTTTCGGGGATCTCCCGCAGAATGTCTAAATATTCGACTTTCCAAGTCGTAAGCTCTTCGTGTTCTGTATCATGCCACTCTTGTGATGGAGCCTTGGCAGCGAGCGCTCCAAGAGTGAACGCGAGCACCTGGCCGATAGCAGTCCGGTGGAGACGGCACTGATCGTTCGCCTGTACGTCTTGATTTGGCACACATAAGTAGTACTGAACAACAGTAGGATCTTCTGGGATATGGAGAAAAACAAAAGCTTCTCCGGTACAGATATAGCCATCTTGAACCCCACTATCGATCATATATGAGAAGATCTGAGTGACCACAGCAGCGACAAGACGGGTGGCATGATATTCAAACGTATCGCCTTCCTGATTAATAACATCGCGGGCCAGGTCCATCTCATGCAGACCCGCCACCAGTTCCGAGATTGTCACCTTGTGTGGTGCTTTGAACTGCACCGCGTATATCGGTCTCCTTCGCTCGTTAGCCACGGTATGTACGCAGAACTGGTCAGCGCGGCGATTGCGCTTTCGTGGAGTGTGAGGCTGCTTCTGATTCCGGGTGACTCTTCCACCATGTCTGGTATTCGTCCGTTGTGGAGGCGATCGCGCGTTGCGGAGACTCAATTGCACCATGCTGTTCTCCAGCGAGGTTTCCGCACGGTCAAAGAATGTGACTC